CTGTAGAAGACCTTGCCACCCCAAGAAATCACTGATCTTATTGCTTGGTCCTTGGGGGACTCACTCTCCTTCTGTGCCAGGACACAGGTACCTGCCTTTTTTTCCCCCTAGATCATTGGAGGTATCGACCACTCGCTGTACACAGGCAGTCTCTGGTATACACCCATCCGGCGGGAGTGGTATTATGAGGTGATCATTGTGCGGGTGGAGATCAATGGACAGGATCTGAAAATGGACTGCAAGGAGGTAATAAAACCAAGGGAGACCCAGGGAACGTAAAGGGGTAGGCAGTACAATGTGAAGGAAGCCTCTGGTTATGATGTTGAGAGGATGAGGCAGAAGTAATAGGACCTGCAGAAAGGGTTGGAAGTTGAGCCTAGAACAGTCAGGGGCTTAATGGTCACACAGCAGGATCTGAGGTTTGGGGCCTAGGGACTGGTAGTGAAAAAAAAATATATGGAACTAGCTCTGATGTTTGGACTCTAGTCACTGCCTTGCTTCATAGCCTTGGGCAAGTCTTTTGTGAGACAGGGTGAGAGAATGAAGAGTCTGTCTTTGGAGTCGGGAAAACCCAGACCTGAATGTAGCTCTGATTTCTACTAGCTATGTACCCTTAGGCCAGTTACTATTCTGTGTTTCAGTTTCCTTACCTGCAAAACAGGTAAAAACAACTTGCTCAGAATATCAGAGATAATGTATAAAGTGTTTATCTCTGTGGTTGGCAGTACTCAATAAAAGGTAAATCATTTATGTCTTCCTTCCCTAGATTCTTATGTACGTTAAATTCGAATAGATATAAATGTACTAAGAAAAGTTAAAAGCGGCCGGGCGTGGTGGCTCATACCTGTAATCCCAGCACTTTGGGAGACCAAGGCGGAGCAGATCATTTGAGGTCAGGAATTCAAGACCAGCCTGGCCAACATGGTGAAACCCATCTCTACTAAAAATAACCAGGTGTGGTGGCAGGCACCTGTAGTCCCAGCTACTTGGGAGGCTGAGGCAAAAGAATGGTTTGAACCCAGGAGGCACAGGTTACAGTGATCCAAGATCACACCACTGCACTCCAGCCTGGGTGACAGAGCCAGACTTAAAAAAAAAAAAAAAAAAAAAAAAAAAAAGTTAAAAGCACTATACAGGGTATTTTTATTTTCAAGTTTGGAGACGACCTGCCAACCCAAGATAACAAGAATAAACATTTACCAAGTGCCTTCTATCTTCTGGGCACAATTCTAAGTGCTTTAAATTGTTGATTTATTTAATCCTTACAATAACCCTTTTAGGTAGGTACTATTTTTATCCTCACTTTAGAGATGAAGAAACTGAAGCACAGAGGTTAACTTGTCCAAGCAGGTACACTTAGGAGGTGCCAAAGCCAAGATGCCAACCCAGCCGCGGCCCCAGCAATAACCCCCTACTGCCCAGAGCCCAGCATCAAAAACCTTTTGACTCTTCTACCTCTCTCTTTCCCCTCTTAGTACAACTATGACAAGAGCATTGTGGACAGTGGCACCACCAACCTTCGTTTGCCCAAGAAAGTGTTTGAAGCTGCAGTCAAATCCATCAAGGCAGCCTCCTCCGTGAGTGGACTAAGGATGGGGGTAAAAGAGATGGTACAGTGTCAGAGGGAGGTGGTGAGAGTCACATTCTTCAGCAACAGCCAAGATGTCTGCACTTAGACCCTTCTACTCAGAGCTCTTAAAACACTCTTCCCCTAGCCAGGCACGGTGATTCACGCCCGTAATCCCAGCACTTTGGGAGGCCAAGGTGGGCAGATCACTAGGTCAGGAGTTCAAGACCAGCCTGACCAACATGGTGAAACCCCATCTCTACTAAAAGTACAAAAATTAGCTGGGTGTGGTGGTGCGAGCCTGTAATCCTAGCTACTCGGGGGGCTGAGACAGGAAAATCGCTTGAACCCAGGAGGTGGAGGTTGTGGTGAGCCATGATCGCACCACTGCACTCCAGCCTGGGCAACAAGAGTGAGACTCTGTTTAAAAAAAAAACAAAAACTCTTCCCCCACTTTATGGCTATCACTTTGCTCATCACACGATCCCCCTGGTACAAAAGTTTGACATCACACTCCCACTCTCTTCCTGTAATTCTTTGGTTGGTTTACCCCTCCCCACTTTGGATATTTCACTGGAAAAGCAAATGAAGGGCCCAGTTAATGTATCTGAACATGGGAGGGGTGAGATGATAGAGTCTTTTCCTCATTGTTACCCCTTCTTGCCAACGCAGACAGAGAAGTTCCCTGATGGTTTCTGGCTAGGAGAGCAGCTGGTGTGCTGGCAAGCAGGCACCACCCCTTGGAACATTTTCCCAGTCATCTCACTCTACCTAATGGGTGAGGTCACCAACCAGTCCTTCCGCATCACCATCCTTCCGCAGGTATGTCCCAGCCTGAGTCAGGGGGATCTCTCTTAAAAGTACACACTGGGAGACAGTGAGCAGGTATGGCTTGCCAGAACTTGGAAGACAAAACAGATGAGTAGTGTCCAGTGGTAAAGGGGTCTTAGAAAACCCATTAGAGCTCAGGGATGGTAAAGGGAAGGGCACAGATGCCTACAAGGCAGAGATGGGGTGAAGGAGAGTGAGGAAGACACTCACCCTGTGATTGCTTACCCCTAGCAATACCTGCGGCCAGTGGAAGATGTGGCCACGTCCCAAGACGACTGTTACAAGTTTGCCATCTCACAGTCATCCACGGGCACTGTTATGGGAGCTGTTATCATGGAGGGCTTCTACGTTGTCTTTGATCGGGCCCGAAAACGAATTGGCTTTGCTGTCAGCGCTTGCCATGGTGAGAGTGCCAGGGCTGAGGGTCTGGGGTCAGTCTCTCCATATTTTCCTTGTCAAACAACAGTTAGTATACCTGGGCCTGTCAGTTTACAGGAGGGTAGTAACAGTTGCCTCAAACCCAAGTCAACAATTGTGCAAAAGGTAGTGTCAATGCTCATCCTTTTTTTGTACTGCCTGCCATAATGACCACTGCCTGGATTGGTAACCTCTGTTGGAAACCCAGAGCAGCAAGAGCTACCTGTGTACCTTGGGAAGCTCTTGATGCAAGGGTAGCAGGCTGAGCCTATAGTGACCCTGTCAGCTGCCACATGGTGAGGTTGAATGCTACTTCAGAAAGGTGGCAGGGTTTTGCAGTTGAATTTCAGCAGCAGAAAGTAAGTTTACTAGGTGTAGCTTTTGGTCAATTCAGAACTACTGAGTTGTAGTTATCACTCCTACCGGCTGGGTATACAAGGAAGGGCTGCTACTCCCAGTGACTTGGGAGGGGAGCCAGGCCTCTACCTGGTGCTGGCTTCCCAGCCTGCTCCTAAATATCTCCTGGGAAGGAGATTGGATAGCTTCTGCATGGGCTAATTTCAAGGCCTCACTATCAGGAAGTTCTTTTTGTTATGTAACCCAAACTGCTCTATGACAATGACAGCTGTCCATTCACATTCACCCTCTCCCCAGTGCACGATGAGTTCAGGACGGCAGCGGTGGAAGGCCCTTTTGTCACCCCGGACATGGAAGACTGTGGCTACAACATTCCACAGACAGATGAGTCAACCCTCATGACCATAGCCTATGTCATGGCTGCCATCTGCGCCCTCTTCATGCTGCCACTCTGCCTCATGGTGTGTCAGTGGCGCTGCCTCCGCTGCCTGCGCCAGCAGCATGATGACTTTGCTGATGACATCTCCCTGCTGAAGTGAGGAGGCCCATGGGCAGAAGATAGAGATTCCCCTGGACCGCACCTTCGTGGTTCACTTTGGTCACAAGTAGGAGACACAGATGGCACCTGTGGCCAGAGCACCTCAGGACCCTCCCCACCCACCAAATGCCTCTGCCTTGATGGAGAAGAAGGAAAAGGCTGGCAAGGTGGGTTCCAGGGACTGTGCCTGTAGGAAATAGAAAAGAGAAGAAAGAAGCACTCTGGTGGCGGGAATACTCTTGGTCACCTCAAATTTAAGTTGGGAAATTCTGCTGCTTGAAACTTCAGCCCTGAACCTTTGTCCACCATTCCTTCTCCAACCCAAAGTATTCTTCTTTTCTTAGTTTCAGAAGTACTGGCATCACACCCAGGTTACCCTGGTGTGTGTCCCTGTGGTACCCTGGCAGAGAAGAGACCAAGCTTGTTTCCCCGCTGGCCAAAGTCAGTAGGAGAGGATGCACAGTTTGCTATTTGCTTTAGAGACAGGGACTGTATAAACAAGCCTAACATTGGTGCAAAGATTGCCTCTTGAATTAAAAAAAAAAAACTAGATTGAATATTTATACAAATGGGGGCGGCTGGAAAGAGGAGAAGGAGAGGGAGTACAAAGACAGGGAATAGTGGGATCGAAGCTAGGAAAAGCAGAAACACAACCACTCACCAATCCTAGTTTTAGACCTCATCTCCAAGATAGCATCCCATCTCATAGGATGGGTGTTGTTTCAATGTTTTCTTTTCTGTGGTTGCAGCCTGACCAAAAGTGAGATGGGAAGAGCTTATCTAGCCAAAGAGCTCTTTTTTTAGCTCTCTTAAATGAAGTGCCCACTAAAAAGTTCCACTTAACACATGAATTTCTACCATATTAATTTCACTTGTCTCTACCTGAACCCTTATTCTACATATGATAGGTAGCACCGAAATATCCTAACCCCCTAAGCTCCAGGTGCCCTGTGAGAGAGCAACTGGACTATATAGCAGGGCTGGGCTCTGTCTTCCTGGTCACAGGTTCACTCTTTCCCCCAAATCTTCCTCTGGAGCTTTGCAGCCAAGGTGCTAAAAGGAATAGGTAGGAGACCTCTTCCTCCTAATCCTTAAAAGCATAATGTTGAAGATTCATTCAACAGCTGATGCCCTATAACCCCTGCCTGGATTTCTTCCTATTAGGCTATAAGAAGTAGCAAGATCTTTACATAATTCAGAATGGTTTCATTGCCTTCCTGCCCTCTCTAATGGCTCCTCCATTTATTTGACTAAAGCATCACACAGTGGCACTAGTATTATACCAGGAGTATGAGAAATACAGTGCTTTCTGGCTCTAACATCATTGCCTTCAGTATCAAGGCTGCCTGGAGAAAGGATGGCAGCTTCAGGGCTTCCTTATGTTCTCCACCACAAGAGCTCCTTGATGAAGGCCATCTTTTTCCCCTATCCTGCTCTCCCCTCCCGGCTCCTAACGGTACGTGGGTACCCAGGCTGGTTCTTGGGCTAGGTAGTGGGGACCAAGTTCATTACCTCCCGATCAGTTCTAGCATAGTAAACTATGGTACCAGTGTTAGTGGGAAGAGCTGGATTTTCCTGGTATACCCACTGCATCCTACTCCTATCTGGTCAACACGCTGCTTCCAGGTATGGGACCTACCAAGTGTGGAATTACCTGATAAGGGAGAAGGAAATACAAGGAGGGCCTCTGGTGTTCCTGGCCTCAGCCAGCTGCCCACAAGCCATAAACCAATAAAACAAGAATACTGAGTCAGTTTTTTATCTGGGTTCTCTTCATTCCCACTGCACTTGGTGCTGCTTTGGCTGACTGGGAACACCCCATAACTACAGCCTGACAGGAAGACTGGAGACTGTCCACTTCTAGCTCGGAACTTACTGTGTAAATAAACTTCCAGAACTGCTACCATGAAGTGAAAATGCCACATTCTGCTTTATAATTTCTACTCATGTTGGGAAAAACTGGCTTTTTCCCAGCCCTTTCCAGGGCATAAAATTCAACCCCTTCAATAGGAAGTCCCATCAGCCTATTATTTTTTTTAAAGAAAACTTGCACTTGTTTTTCTTTTTACAGTTACTTCCTTCCTACCCCAAAACTATAAGTGTAAAAAAAAAAAGTCTTAACAGCTTCTTGCTTGTAAAAATATGTATTATACATCTCTATTTTTAAATTCTCCTGAAAAATGACTGTCCCATTCTCCACTCACTGTATTTGGGGCCTTTCCCATTGGTCTGCATGGCTTTTATCATTGCAGGCCAGTGGACAGAGGGAGAAGGGAGAACAGGGGTGGCCAACACTTGTGTTGCTTTCTGACTGATCCTGAACAAGAAAGAGTAACACTGAGGCACTCGCTCCCATGCACAACTCTCCAAAACACTTATCCTGCTAGAATGGGCTTTCCAGGGTCTTTACTGGGAAGCAGTTAAGCCCCCTCCTCACCACTTCCTTTTTTCTTTCTTTACTCCTTTGGCTTCAGAGGATTTTGAAAAAGAAACAATATGCTTTACATTCATTTCCAATTTCTAAATTTTCAGGGGATACTGAAAAATACGGCAGGTGGCCTAAGGCTGCTATATAGTTGAGGGGAGAGGAAATCTTAAGATTACAAGATAAAAAATGAATCCCCTAAACGAAAAGAACAATGGAACTGGTCTTCCATTTTGCCACCTTTCCTGTTCATGACAGCTACTAACCTGGAGACAGTAACATTTCATTAACCAAAGAAAGTGGGTCACCTGACCTCTGAAGAGCTGAGTACTCAGGCCACTCCAATCACCCTACAAGATGCCAAGGAGGTCCCAGGAAGTCCAGCTCCTTAAACTGATGCTAGTCAATAAACCTGGGCAAGTGAGGCGAGAGAAATGAGAAAGAATCCATCTGTGAGGTGACAGGCAAGGATGAAAGAGAAGGAAGGAGAAGAGTATCAAAAGCAGAGAGGAGATCATTTAGTTGGGTCTGAAAGGAAAAGCCTTTGCTATCTGACATGTATTGCTAGTACCTGTAAGCATTTTAGGTCCCATAATGGAAAAAAAAAAAATCAGCTATTGGTAGTATAATAATGTCCTCTGCCTGGAATCAGTTTTTTAAAAAAGTTAACTCTTAGTTTTTACTTGTTTAATTCTAAAAGAGAAGGGAGCTGAGGCCATTCCCTGTAGGAGTAAAGATAAAAGGACAGGAAAAGATTCAAAGCTCTAACAGAGTCACAGCTTTCCCAGGTATAAAACCTAAAATTAAGAAGTACGACAAGCAGAGGTGGAAAATGATCTAGTTCCTGATAGCTACCCATAGAGCAAGTAATTTATAAATTTGAAATCCAAACTGTTTTCTTAATATCACTTTGGTCTCCATTGTTCCCAGGACAGGAAATATGTCCCCCATAACTTTCTTGCTTCAGAAATTAAAATCCAGCATCCCAATATCATTCTGCAAGTAATTTTGCACAGACATCTCCTCACCCCAGTGCCTGTCTGGAGCTCACCCAAGGTCACCAAACAACTTGGTTGTGAACCAACTGCCTTAACCTTCAGGGGGAGGGGGATTAGCTAGACTAGGAGACCAGAAGTGAATGGAAAAGGGTGAGGACTTCACAATGTTGGCTGGTCAAAGCTTGATTAGAAGCTAAGCCAGTGGCAGCAAAGGAAGGCTTGGCCCAGGAAAAACCTGTGGGTTGTGCTAATTTCTATCCAGAAAATAGACTGGACAGAAGCTTGTGGGGTGCATGGAGGAACTGGGACCTGGTTATGTTGTTATTCTCGGACTGTGAATTTTGGTGATGTAAAACAGAATATTCTGTAAACCTAACGTCTGTATAAATAATGAGCGTTAACACAGTAAAATATTCAATAAGAAGTCAAACTACTAGGGTTACTTTTTTTTCCTCAATCAGAGTCTCATTTTATCCATTTGGAGTAGAGTGGCTAAAACAATACTGAGGCTTCTGGAGGCTTTCAGTAAGCAAGGCATCTGGTTGGACAGTGGGTGAGCACCAGGCTTTAAATCTGCATACATGAGCCTTAAGAAAATGAACTAGAGGCTGAGCCAAACCAAAGCAGAATGGCCTTAGAGCAACAGCAGGTTCCTAGGTGGTTTTTATATTGTATTTGAAAACAGCCCCGGGCAGGGATATCATAATTTCAAGGCCAAACTAAACATCATCTTCCCTACAATCTGCATCCCCCAAAGAAATTGCAAGATGAGGGGGAACAGACTGTTTCTGCATAATATACATACTTTCATTTACGAACATTGGAATACAGACTTTCTATACACACATTACCTATATAATAAAAATGTACATGGCATGAGTATATGTCACTGTATAAATATAGAGTTTTAGAAATCTTGAACCCGCGCTTCCTGTTCACATCAGTTTCTCTTCTTCTTCCTCCCCAGTCAGGTCCGTCATTTAAGAGTTGGACAAAAGGGACAAGTGTCATTTGTGTTGGTCTGGGCCCAGAATTTTATACACTGGAAAGAAAGAAAGACACACCTCAGGTTTATCTGGAAAGACAAAGGGAAGGAAGGAGAGAATGCCAATAAGGTTCAACAAGGCCTAAGTCAGAAAAGTTCTTACACTGAGGTACAAGAGGGGCTTTTTTTTCTTTTTTCTTTTTTTTCTTTTTGAGAAAGAGTCTCACTCTATTGACCAGGCTGGAATGCAGTGGTGCAATCTCAGCTCACTGGAACCTCTGCTTCCTGGGTTCAAGCTATTCTCCTGCCTAAGCCTCCCGAGTAGCTGGGATTACAGGCAGGCATCCACCACCATTCCTGGCTAATTTTTGTATTTTTAGTAGAGATGGGGTTTCACTTTGTTGGCCAGGCTGGTCTCAAACTCTGGCCTCAAGTGATCTGCCTGCCTCAGCCTCCCAAAGTGCTGGGATTACAGGTGTGAGCCACCGCGTCCGGCCCCAAGAAGGGCTATTCAGTGGCTCTTACCCTAAAAGAATCCTCAGTGCAAGTGAACCTTTTTTTTTTTTTTTTTTTTTTTTTTTGA